ATTCGCGTACACAACAACGGTCTAACCTGTATAAGATTACAATGATGTACCGTTAGGTTTAAACTTGATTATTTGATTTGTGTTCTATATGAGCGTGTTGAAAGGGCTGTTATTTATTAACCGTTTAAATGTAACAGTCTTCAATGATGCACGTCATTAAAGTTCTGTTTACCGGTGGCCGTAAAAATGATGAAAAATGAAAACGATTATCACATCAACGTGCAATTCGTAACCTGAACGTTTCGAAATATTTAATAAAAACCATATGTTTTTTTTTTCAAATACTTACTATAAACACATAGTTATTAAGTAAATTGTTCGAGTATGTACGATGTCAATTGAGATTTTGTGATACATATAATATGGTTGAACCAAATACATCGGTTCAAATTAGACGGAACACGTGGTAGTGATGAAATACTCCATGAAAACTATTTCAAAAAATTATGATATTCGATCAATACACATATAAAATTTTAAGTACCAGTAAAAATACCTAACCAGTATTTAACCGAAAAGCTTTTTGTTTGCCAATACACTGCAGTTTGACTGCAGGAGGGCATTTGATTATGGACACCGATACGTGAAGTCAAACATCAAATGTTCAAAATGAAATATTTTTTACTTTCATCCACAATTTATTGAGCACATACCTGTGCACGCCGAATATTCAAGACTTATTCAATTATGTATTGCAATCTTCATTTTCAGGCTATGTGTATATAAGTAGTTAGTATGATGTAGTAGCAGCCGTGCTATGGCACAAAGGAGTACGTGAATCATCCATGAAAATTAGAAGAAAAAATGATTAGATTCCTATAGTAAATTATAATTGGTATACATGCAAATTGTCTGTAATTATTAAAAATATTAAAAAAAAAAAAAAAAAAAAATTGTCCAGATTTTTGTATCAAGAAGTGTATCTGTTAGGGATTAAATGATTATTTATAATATATAAGCGGAGCACACATTTGTCGTGCTCCGGACAGCCATAGAAAAATTAGCTATATGCATAGACACGTCGGTTAGTTAAACATAGTTGTTCATGGTCGTTTGGAGTACAATTAATGTGTAAATGGGACTTATTTTATCGGTCCTCGTATAGCGTCGATCGTGAAAACAAGATTATGTGTTTATATCACATGAATAATAAGTTTTTTTTATTTTACCACAACTAGAGCTTAGAAAAAAAAATTAATATTTTTTTATCTATCCACATCAATACAAATCTTACAAATTATTTGTGCACCATTCTAAGTGAACCTCACAAACCACCACTGATATTTTTTATTAGTTAAAAAATGTTTGTTAATACTGATTAAATTTTGGAATATATCAACATAGGCTGTAAAGTGTAATAATGCGGTACGCGTTAGGAGCTAAACTTGTTTTTTTTAAATATTTCTTTCTTAAAAAATAATTTTTCTGACACATGAGCATTTTTGCTAATTTTTGTATTAAATCATTGAATATCAAATAGACTTTAGGGAAAATAGAATTTGTTCCATAATTATCGATTAAATATATTTTCTAGTCATTATACATAACTAACAAAAGGTACAATGAAACTTCCATTTAGAATATCTCCATTTAACGAAACTTTCTATTTAACAATTAATTGTTGAGAATCATGACTTTCATTGTTTATTATTAAATAATTCTATCTTACGAATCCCTCTATATTATGAACTATATTATGAACATTTTTTTCCCATCAAACTTTGATATAAGAAAGTTTCACTGTAAAATACATTAATGCACACCATTTACTTTTTCTTTTAATATAAATGTATCTATAGATTATTTTTAATAATAAAATTATCTTAAGAATTATGATACATAATAACTATATTATTTTGATATACTATTATTCAACTAAAATATATAATTTATAGTCATTTAAAACCACGTTTATAATATGAGTGAACAAAATAGTATTCTCAATGGAAGTATTTTGGTATCAATTTGATCATTAGATATATTTTTAAACTGTGTATTTGAATTAATATAAGTTTCGGAATGGAAACAAAAATTTTATATCGTTTACTCAGATTATTACCACAGGTAGTACTTATTATGGTTTTTATGTATTTCCATTTTAAATTTTTAAATTTTTGTAAAAACTCCGTGTATTAACCAGTTATTAGTAATCATTAAAGCCTGGATTTGTATGAAAAAAAGTATTGTTAAATATGCATATACTTATGCGTATAAAAATAAAAAAATATGAAAAATTATGCAAAAAAAAATTATTTATTATGTAATGAAAAAATTATTGCAAATATTTTACATACTATAAACTATTATAATTTATTATTATTTAGAAATTACGGAACAAATAATTATCAATCAATTATGTAAATTCAGAATTTACAACAAAAAATATTAATTTCGAAACAGGTACCAACACGAAGTAACAAATTATAATTTCAGATATTTAAATGGGAGCTTTACAGTTGTTATGTAGCATATATAAGTATTATGGTGTAAGTTAACTGGTTTAAAGATTTTATTTAATGTTTAAAATTAAAATATTATATAGGTGGAAAGTTGATGAAAAAAAAAAAACTTCTTGGTACAGAAAATTTCTATCAGAAATATTTTTGAATCTATTTTAAATCAAACATTTAACCACTTAACTTATTTAACGTAAAAAAGTTATAAAAGTTAATATAAACATAGTTGTTTTAAAATTTCAAATATTCTAAATAATTGTTTTCAAATTAATTGTATTTTTAATATTATAAATGTATGATTGCGTATCTTTACAAAATATTTATTTTACTCAATGTAAACGAACATTTTAATCACCTTAAATAATAATAACTACTTTTGTAATTTCATATTGAGTCACAAAGCTATAGTTTCTCAACATATATCAGAAGTTTAATATTAATTATTTACATTTACCTATGATCTTTTCATATGTGTTTTGACGAAAATTTCATCGAAGTATAATAATTTTTATTGTATAAACGTTAAATTATTTTATTAAAAATTATCTTTTTATAATAAAACTTCATAACTACGTATTATTTACGAACAATATTTTTACCAAATTCTATTAATTCTGAAAAATCAATGATGAATATAACGGTTTCTAATTATTTTGATTAGTGTATTTTATAGCTATTTAATAATAACATTCATAACTAATAATAATATTATTTGAACAAAATATTGAAGAGATGGAAGAGATGAAGTTCGGTCTAAACGAATTGGTTTGTGACTACACAATCGAAAATAACATTTAAAAAAATACCTGTTTGTTTATTGATTATTGTACCATACGATTTTGTTAAATCCATTTATAATTTTAATTCAAACGATGAATGTAAATTTCCTGATCAAACAATCTGAATATTCGGTATACTGTATTATACTGTATTATTTAAACATGCTTATGTAATAATAACATAACATAAATAAAAATAACTAACTAATGAAAAGATGAAATGTACTTAAAAGTACTAACAAATTACACAAAAGTCACCGTATTTGCTTTGCTACCAGTAACACATACGAAGTAGATGTGTTTGGTACCTAGCCTAAATAACAGATAAAAAAAGCAAAAACTTAAAAATCAAACTGTCGGAAAAACTATAAATTATTATTAAAATTACGTCAGGGAGGTTTAACATAGCTGGTTCAGTTCGTTATTTAGTTGTTTTTAATTAATCATTAAACAATATATCAAAATAATTTATTATTAGGGACATACCTACCAATATAATGGAGATTAATCAATGTGTTATAAAAGACTAGCAGAATGTATAACAAAAATTAAACAAGAATATAAGTAGTTCAAAGACCCTATAAAACTCTATAAAACCCTAATAAACCTATAAAAAAAATAATAATAATAATAAAATAAAAAATATTCCAAAAAATGCACAATACATACAATGTTTTTCTAGGCTATTAAAATAATCTAAATTATTTCAAAGATACCAATCACTACTTAAGATTACAAAGGTAAAATTTGTAATTAATATTGATTTACAATTATGATTTAACATTGACATTAAACATTGAAACATTAAATTACGCATTAGTGTCTTGAATATTATCACAACGTAATTTTGATGTGATTTTTTTCGTCATTAAGGCCTAGAATCAAAGTTTATCTCATCGGACAGTCTTAGATGGCCAACCGTATTTGTTGTAAACACGGATTATTTACTACCAACTCTGTGCCGGACACATATCAGAGCCGGTTATTAAATGACTCGTTAACGAGTTAAAAGTCGAGAATATTATCTCTGATGTTGTAGAGGGATTTTTTGATTACATGTCGAAACGTTTTCAAAGTGTGATTTGCATACAATGTATCCGAAACGTAAAGCAAATATTTATAGTTGTTTAATGTTTGCCCGGAAAATTATAATTAGCATCAGTCCACATATATTATAGGTTGTTCGTGGACACACGCGAATGGGGAAAAAACTACCTACATTGTCCCATAATCGCGGTACTATCAAATGAGCTCAAGAATTAATATCAATTTTAATTTTTGTTTAAATGATATGTGATATATTTACAACGGTTAATTATAATGATAAAATTTGACCTGCGTTTTTGTGAGACAGTAATCAAGGCAATATTATTCCGTATTGTATTATTAACAACAGCGTAAATTGTCATGTGTTCGAGTAAATCATATGTGTAAAATTAACATTAGACTATCCAAACGACGTCGGATCACGGAATTATCAAAATATGTGGTGGTTTTGATAAATTATTGTATACACAAACAGGATCGAAATTAAAATGTTATGTAAACAATACATTATTGCAGCGTACATTACGTATTAGGATCAAAAAGTTCCCGGAATTTATTTATAGAAAAAAAACTATATTTCTTATCAAATATCTGATTATTGGAATTAAAAGTAGACATTATTAGTTAGCTATCTATAGGTTTAGTTATTACAAGTACATTAGTCTCATGTGAGCCGTAATTGAGTCCATATGAAACTGTGTTTACACATTTTTTTAAAATGTCACAATTAATGTCACAACGCGCTAACATTAAATTTTGTTTTAAACTTGGAAAAACTGCCGCAGAAACGCTCGAATGCTTGAAAACAGTTTATGGTGATGAAGCGTTAAAGAAAACAGCCATTTATGATTGGTTTAAACGGTTCAAAAATGGCCAAGAGTCACTTGAAGACGAAGAGCGGAGTGGCCGGCCGTCAACATCAAAAAACGATGAAACAATCGAAAAAGTTAAAAATTTGGTGCAATCAGATCGTCGTTTACACATTCAAGATATGGTAAATGTATTAGGAATATCGTATGGTTCAGTTCAAAACATTTTAAAAGATGATTTAGGAATGCGGCGCGTTGTTCAAATTGCTACATTTTGAAAAAATGCGTAAACACAGTTTCGTATGGACTCAATTACGGCTCACATGAGACTAATGTACTTTTAACGACTAAACCTATAGATAGCTAATAATAGTCTACTTTTAATTCCAATAATCAGATATTTGATAAGAAATATAGATTTTTTTCTATAAATAAATTCCGTGAACTTTTTGATCCTACTACGTATGTGGCACGTGTAACACATTAATTTTTATTTGTTATCAATACATTTGTACATTAGAATGGTGCATTTGGAAAACGACTTCACGTGTACCTTTTAAGGTACTTCTAAGGTTTACCGTTGCTTGATTGTATATTGGTTGTGTTTTAACTCGGTTGTATGTATTGAATGTATTATTCTTGGTATTGTTTCGATCTACCGATGAATCAAACTGCAAGCTAAATCATTACCAAGTTAACTTTCCGTGACTGCGAGAAAAATTCCTCACAATACCCGTTTAGCGCTGAACCACTGCCATTGCCGCAATTACAAAATAGGAGGCCAGTGTGCGGTAATTATATTAGGCACCTACCTAGGATTTATTTTTGTTGTACGTTTTATTCATAAATATCAATTTTTTTAGGTTTTAAAACACGTTTCACATCAGTTATTGTATAATATATACATATCAAATTAAATACCTACAACTGTTGTATATTATACTCCACTGCATATTTATGTAGTAAATTTATTTAAGTAGTTTAGGTGGGTATGTTGTATGTCTACTCAAATACTCAATGGACTCATTGTCAAACAAATATTATATTACTCTAAAATATTATAACATCCTTACCGGAATTTTAAAAAAAGTTTCTTTTTATTATAAAATAATAATATAATATTATTAAATAATTATGTGTTTGTAAAGTGTAGTTTATTTTAGGTTGGGACTAGAAGGCCCCCCCAAATGTACGTAAGCTTTGGGGCCCGTGTGCGCGGCACACTCTGCACACCCCATCTTTGCGGTACTGACTACTGTTTGCAAAAAGTCTCTAATCTCATCTAAAGATAATTTGATAAATTTACATTAAAACAATCCGATTATGACGTAACAATAACTTATATGTTTCACATTTAATGAATCAAAATTAAAAACAGATACATTTCTAAATCTTTGTTCGAATAGCAATAAGCATTAAAGTGCACATGAAAATAGACATAAACGATCGTTATAACTACGTATTATAAACATAGTATTTCGACAGTGGTACAAACATTGTCTGCAAACATCATTGTTTTTAAATAAAAGTATATTATGTTATTGAAACTAAATAAAACCAATACCTATCTGTAAAAGTACTATGTGATTTCAACAACCTGATTTGGTTACCAAAAATTGAATAACTAAAGATATAGTCATAGGTGCACGCATACTTTGTCCGCAGGGGGGCCTTAAAAAAAGTGAACCAAAGATTTTTGTGCTAAAGACTACTAGTATAATTAAATATTTTAAATTTTATAAATTATTTATTTAATTCAATATGCAAATGTTAAAATAAATACTATTTAAACTTACACAATTTATATCTAAAAAATCCTTATTTACATATTATTATACTATTTACAACTCCATCTTTCTGTTCACGGGAGTAAGGTTTAGGAATGTATCAATTATATCTTCAATTTTTATATTATATGCAAGTTCTAATTAGTCTGATTAATAACTAATAACTTTATTACATTTATTCACAGATATCAATTCTATACTATAAGATTAAAACTGGCTTTACTTTATTTATGTAAAATGTAAAAATTTTCGCTATTTTATATAGTATAGATAAACATTTATTAAAGAAAAAGCTAGAGTCCGCAGGGGAAGGGCGGCCTACTCGGCCACCCCCGTTCGCACGCCTATGGATATAGTACCTAATAATAATAATAATAATAATAATAATAATAATAATAATACCCATATCACTATGGTCAAATTTAATGTGGTGAATCGCGACATTTTCGCTCTTTACCGAAAATATATATTTATACCAAATAAATCGATAAAACATGTTTCAGTGATTTAATTTTATGGTTTTTGAAACTTGTAGTTGTCTTACTTCTTAGCTTAAAATTATTTAAATATTGACCAATGAATAAGCGATTCACATGATACATACTGCTGCAGTTGATAACAGTTAAATATCAATAGTAAAATATTAACCATGCATAAAGATAAATAATTAAAAAAATCTGAAAATATTTTTAATCACTCGATTTAATCTTTGTTAAAAATTATGACAAACTGAATTAGGTGTTATTGTGCACGGTTCGCTATATTATAAAAGTTCCTCATATACGTTGAATTATTTATAGAAGTTTATAATTTTAATAAATATATTATATGTAATACAATTTTATTCTATAAACTCTCATGGACAGAATAAGGCGCTGTACTATACTGTGGAGAGTTTTCCGTTTTATATATGTGTATATATAGTATTAAGTATTATAAATATTTAAAAAAAATAGAATGTGTAAAATGCATAAATTCCAACACGCGTTCAACTGTATTCTATAAGGTTGAAATCATTTATTTTTGAAATGTAAAATGTTTATAGTGCACACTCGTTTATACCCATATACTATTTGTATTTGTGCATACATAAAATACATTTAATTTTTTCTAGCCTGTTCGCTAAATTGTTCTTATTCCTCCGAGTAAATGTAGTTCAGCTTATATTTATAAATGGAGTGTAAATTGTAGCGGCGTATGTATTATTTTAATTGAATTGTGTGACAAGTATCTGGATAAATTCATTATCTTATATTATTGGTGTCTTCTTTTCATGGTAAATAATATTATAGTATAGGCTATACATAGTTATACTCGTACTATGTAATTTAGTGTTACTATATACACACAGTGTGTTGACCCTCAAAATTTAAATATTTGAACGGTTAGTTATATTTTACCGAATACGATAGAAAATGTATGTAAATACAAAAGTAAATAATTTTAGAATATATATCCCACGAGATCCATTTGAATCAAAAATGAACTATCCATAAACTTTTTAACACTTCTGTTTTGGCCATGAATTCCTAATAACGTCTGGTGCTATTAAGAGTTGTTTTGACACGTTATGTTATCTCCCCCTTTGATTAAAAACAAATATTAATATGGTATTTTTTATTACATCAAACAAAAACGGCAAACGATGGGCTGACACTATTTCAAAGATTTTCTTAAAATTACATATAAAAACTGAGCTAACAAAATGTACTAGTTAGAATTTTTAATACTGCGTTATAACAATATTCAAGGATGTATTACGTATACGCAGCTAAAATTGATTTTCAATTTAATATACACTCATAGACATCATATACTAGTTATAAACACGTTTTTCAGTTTAGACGTGAACGACGTTTTGAATCGGTCCACGAAACATCACTTCACACGTATTGCGCATTAAAGCTTAATGCGTATAGCTTAGGACCCAAAAGTAAGGTATTAAGCATGGGCGTAATAACCATTCTTATTTTCCTCCAATGTGACGAACTCATATTTTATTTTTTTTCAGCGAGAACTCTTCTTAAGTAATATCTTGTGTGAGATTTTCTATTTCGTACAACTAGAAACGTATCGAATGAAATTAATCTATGAAAAAATTTCCTATTATTCAACATTATAGCACTACAGATCTAACATTCAGTATTATTATAAATCTTTATATTTGATCTACCACTAAAACTATACATTGCGTCTCTAAGACTTTCAATCTCAAACTTGCTAAAATTAAATTCATCGGACTTTGTTTTCTTTTAAGTTTTTATTTATCAGAATTTTTCGATGTTCAAATTTAAATGATTAGAATTGGATCTTCTCAAGTTGCATCTTATGTTATCAATATTTTATATTAACAAATTAATTAGAAATATATAGGAATATTTGGATTCATATAGGTATTGTTTTTAGTTTTTAATGACAAAAAAGTAATGTGCTATCGAATAAAGTATTTTAAGCATAGGTAATTAAAAATATTTTAATATAAATATTAGTTCGGTTATCTAAGCATAGTAAATATATTAATAGGGATAATTATTTACATCAGAAACTTAAAAATGGGCCAATCAGTCTTATAATTCGTTAAAGCATATCAGTTTTGATATAAGAAAAAGAAAGACAAGTATATGGTTCTCTAAACTGTTAATATGTAATCCAGTAATTTGAGGACTCTCGATTCTTTAATTTATTTTTTAATGTGTGGTAAAATTTTTGGAACTCGATTTTATTCGTTATAATAATTCTGGATTTTTCTGATGTCCATGTGAAATCTTAAAAGGTCTATACACCTAAAAAAAAGCTCATGAAATCAGTGCTTTGTCGTACTAGGATGCTTAGTATTGGTCTTAAAAATTAATTATTTAATTTTCAGTCACAAAATGAGCACATATAGAATTAAGAATCAATGATAATTTTACTTAATTCAAATTGTTTAAAATGTTTGGATCAGTATATGTTAGATAAAAACAGATTTATCGAATGGTTGATAATAACAAAGATGCACACCAAGGAAATTACAAGACAACACCAGATATTTGTGTGGATTTAAAATTGAATGAAGGCATATATTGAACTTTATAACGGATTTTTTCTACAATTGTATGCTTATATATTAGCAATGAAGGGCTTTTATAACATAATGTCACGGTTATCTTCATTGATATAACTTAATAATCCATACATTTTTTCGTAATTGTATATGATTGCATGGGTCTTAAGCGTCACATACATGGTACAATTACCCGCACGACAGATTGTACAACGGTTTTATATACTAGTCGTACCAACTTTTAGTACGCTATATCCGCCACATATTAATACGACTTATCATACTACAAGTTTTTCGCTTCATGGTATATTGGTACGAGCATAATAATTAAAAACAAATTACCAAAACACGTGTATAAAACATTGACGGTTTTACGGGGAGGGAAGAGTCCAAAGGGATCTGGACCCCTCCCCAGGTTACGCTTTTGGGTTGTGATAGATTATAATTA